GATGGTCTAATCAGTGACATGAGACGTTAATTTTCTTTGACCCATCAAAATGAATGTGGTCATTTATTAACAGAATCAAAATTTAACATCAAAACATTGTACACTTGATTATTCCGATCGGCTCTGATTAATAAAACTTGGCACGTTTTACTTAATAAAAACAACAGACATATCCTTAGATCTTAAATTAATGTCTGCAGGCTTTAGCTTATCTTTACTGGCAGAAAGAAGAGTTTTAAAGATGGGAAATGAAGGAGTTTAAATGGAGGGAAAAGATGGATGAGGATGTATGTCTGTAAACCAGAACAACACGCTCCTTTCAAGCGCAGTTCGCCCGCAGTACACTGGTAGTGAAGCTCGTGACGACTCTTTACCTTGGCAGAGGATGAATCAGCTGCGGTCAAGAGGTCCCTGGCACGCTACCTTTCAGCGTCTCCTCAGGGCGGCTGCGACTCGGCAGAAGTCGTGAGATAATTCGCCCCACAGAACAAACTTCCTCAGCAGTTATAGGGCATTCGCCGGGTGGAGCCATAGCGAGGCGTCGTGGCTCCGACAGGAACTCCAGCCGAACTCCATCAGAACCAGAAGAACTAACGGGACTCTGAGAAGACAGCGGAACTCAGAACTTCTGTTCTCCAGCACTCGAACTTCTCCCCACTAGAACTTCTGTTCTCACTCCAGAACTTCTGTTCTGTTTCGGAACTTCTGTTCTTCCCCCAGAACTAACTGGAACTAGGAAGTGTCGACTTTTAAAGAGTTCTGCTTCCGGTCACTTTTAGGAAGTCCTGATTGGTTGAAAGAACCAACAGGGGTGTGGTTTTAGTGACGTCAGAAGGTTATTACAAGTCAGATAAACAGCGGAGATGTTTAGGAACAGACAGAGAAATGTTTTGGAGAAATGACAGATTCACAGGTGCCAGCTTTCTTGTTTCTGTCTGAGAGGTTTAAAAACATGACAGTTCGTTCCAATAAACTTGTTTGCGACTGTCTCCGACTTTTGACCGACATCACTCCTTTCTCATTTCAGACGGAAGATCAAAAAATGCATAATTACTTTGTAACAGACATTTAACTTGATTTCTACTTTGAATGAGGATTAAAAATCATTAATACTGTTTCACAGTTGATTTAAAATGAGTGGTTCACTTCAACATTTAAAAATGATTTGAATTAAACACACTTTTGATTATCAAGACATTGTAAAAATAGTAATGATAATATAAAAAAGAGAGTGTTCTTTCAATTGATTAGTTCAGGATACAATTAGAAAGTCTCTGGATGAGCTAATTTGTATTTCTGGATTCAAATCAATGAAATAACAGTTCCTGTCCCATGAAGGTCTTCAGAGGCAGGTTTTGACCGGAGGCCGAGTTCACTACACTGATGCCAGCTCAGCTGATCTGAGGCTTAACCCAGCGTTCATGCCTAAAAACATCACAAGCTCATTTAAATCAAGAGTGATATCGTTGGAGGGATTTTTTTCCCTCCTCCCCATAAATCAGAAGAAGAAGCATATTTCCATCTTCTCTGCCCTGTACGTGCGTTGACGTGTTACATAGCACGCACGGCGGCACTGCGTCAGACTCAACATTTGTTTGTGCACTTAGAGACACATCTGCAGGTCACCCGTTATCCATCCAGCGCCTGTCACACTGGCTGTGTGAGGCCATTTCTGAAGCCTACAGAGCATCAGATTTAGAGCCTCCTGACAACCTCAGGGCGCATTCGACCAGAGGTATCGCATCTTCAACTGCTTTGCATAATGGTATAACAATGCAGGATATTTGCACTGCAGCCGCCTGGTCAACACCCTGTTCATTTATTCACTTCTATTTACGTGATGTGTCATCTCGTTCCATGACGCATTCTGTCCTTAGATCCTTAACATAATGCATATTATTGTTTCATGGAATCTCGTTTAAACTCACATCTGACTGCATGCATTTACAGTGTGAGATATTGTTATCAGTCACAGGTTATGACTGTTGTTCTTGTTCTATGGTCACTAATCAGTTCATGACTTCTGTCATCAATCAGTTTATTTGATTAATAATCAGTTCACTTATTATTAATCTGTTCATATTGAAGAGCCGTGGATGTGCTCTGTTCACGATCTTTTCAGCCTCTCCTCTTTCCCGTTGAAAACTTTTCCGGGGTGTTCATGCACTCGGAACGCATATACTACGCAGTGCGCGTCTGTGCATGGTGCACGTAATTACGCAACGCGTATTTACGCACATGGAGAGCCGAGTGACAAGATGTTTTTTGGGCAAGCGGATGCTTCTTATGGCGTTCGAATGGACCCAGTGAGGCGGAGACTACATCATGCTTTGCCCTTAAACCACCAGCGACAGCCTTAAAGGGTGAAGCATATACGAAATAGAACGTTGGTTACGTACTGTAACCCCAGATTCTATGAGTACAGGCGTAACCCTTTAAGCATCGGGCCTCACTGGCTCCTAAATGGCTGAAGAAAAAAGCTATATAGGAGCCGATTACCCACTCTTAACGTAATTTATACGGACCGGATGGGGCCCACAAAACAGGTGGGCGTGGACTAAATTTTTTCATGACGGGATAAACCCACCAGTGACAGCCTTAAAGGGCTACGCCTATATTCATAGAATCTGGGGTTACAGTATGCAACCAACGTCTTTGCTGACTCATGTTTCGAAAACTTTGTGCAAATGTTCAAATTTAGTACAAACGACCTCACAATGGCTATTTGAACTTTTAAAGAACAGAACACTGAAAAGACTAAAAGTACAAGTTCTTGTTTTATTTGTTCAAAATATAATGATGTGTGGATTTAAATATATATTTTAATGCAAATTTGCACATCTTTAGGAATAAAATACTTTACATATCAAATTATGGCAAACACTTTTTAAATGTGATTGGAAACAAAGTAGCGTTTGTTGCACAAAAATGAAACATTAAAAAGTTGCAATAACAAACAAACAAACAAATACACAAACAGCAAACTCACCAACAAAAAACATGGCATAATTGTTCAAAATTCATTTAAACACTACGGATTTACATTTTACTGTGAATTCTGATCAACGCACACCGATCCAAGAAAACTTAAATTGTAGGCAAGACAGAGTAATATAAAACTAAAATCACAACATATTTTAACTTTCACCTCCATCCATCCATTTTCTTTACCCGTTTATTCCATTTTGGGTCACGGGGGTCGCCGGTGCCCATGTCCAGCAATCACTGTGCGAGGGGCGGGGTACACCCTGGACGGGTTGCAAGTCCATCACAGGGCCACATAGAGACAAACGAGACAAACAACCATTCACTCTCTCACTCACACCTAGGGACAATTTAGCGTTACCAATCAGCCTAACATGCATGTTTTTGGTCTGTGGGAGGAAACCGGAGTACCCGGAGAAAACCCACGCATGCACGGAGAGAACATGCAAACTCCACCCAGAAAGGCCCCCGGACCGGGATTTGAACCAGGGACCTGCTCGCTGAGAGGCAGCAGCTCTACCAGTTGCGCCACCGTGCTGCCTTAACTTTCACCTAAAAACCAAAAATTTAAACGCTGATGCACGATAAAAACCACAGTTTGCGCCTCAGGAGAAAGAAAAGATAAAATCTTGAATACAAAATGTTCCCTTATAACACTCTTATCGCATAAACAATGAAAAATAAAAACAGTTTTGAAACATTTTTGTTTTGAACACCTTTTCAACATTTAGAGTTCACCAAAGTCCATGCTCAATAATCCAGGTACAAATCCAACAATTTTCAGACAGGTCACAGGGCGGTTTCTTTTTTTGTTGAGACGTTTCATCCTTCATCCAAAGGACTTCTTCAGTCCGAGGAGCCACAAACAAACTGGACTCCCACAAATACCACACTCCCATAGTGGAAAAAACAAACAAACAAACAAAACAGTTTGCTGTTGATAAAATGGTTTCTGGGATTGGATTTTTACCAGGATTATTGAGCATGAACTTTGGTGTTTTTAACCATTTTGGCTGCCTCAGAGGAGTTGATGGGGAAGAGAGTGGGCCCCAGAAACTCAACTTATCACCAGCAACCTGTCCCCCCCCCCCCCACACACACACACACACACACTATGCAAGTGGGTATTTGTGGGAATCCAGTTTGTTTGTGGCACCTCGGACTGAAGAAGTCCTTTGGATGAAGGATGAAACGTCTCAGCAAAAAAAGAAACCATCCAGAAGACCTGACTGAAAATTGTAACATTTGGAGTGGTAATGACCAGAAATACGATGCAGTTCCACCAACTCCACGTCAATTTGAGTTAAGACTTCAATATTTACCTTAAAATATTTTGCGGTGATTATACTGAAGTACAGTAAAGATGATGCTTACACAGTCTTCTGCTCTGTTCGATGTCCGGACTACAAAAAGTATATAACTGTGATAAGTGTTTAATAGATGAACAGATCTAAAAGTATTCTTCCACTTTGTTTAACTTGCACATGTTTAATATGAAAAAAGTAATTTAAACATGTTTTAAAAGTCAACTTTTGGATTTTAAGCAGAGATGAAGTGATGGTGTGGATTTTACTGGTTGCATGTGATACTTTTATTATCAAAATATTGCTCAGTTCTGTTCATTTCATTGTGTAACAAGAATCAAAAAACACCTGGAGGCAGCAGATACTGGACCAGTGACTGATGTCCAGAGGAGGGCAGTGTTGTCTTGATCTTCAACCACTCCTTTCATGCAGCACATAATCTCAAACAAAAAGAGTTCTTCTTTCAGAAGGTTCTGGAGAAGGGTTTAAGTTAATTTATGCTGATGTTTATGGCTCTGTGTTCTCCATTTCTATGACAGCGTCTGTGTAAGCACAGCCCCGAACATATTGGAAGTATTTTTGTTCTCCCCTTCCCCTTCGTTCCTTCACACCGCACAGAAAAATGATCTTCACTGGAAACGCCAGCTGCAAATGCCATGCAGGGCACTGTAACGTTCCCAATATAACCTCAGAGCTCAGCCAGCTGGAGAGGTCCAGTCAGAGGCCTCGATGTGTGCTGCTACTGAAGTGACCATCACCCTGTGTGCTCCTTTTGTCTTTTCTTTACTTCACCCGCTCTAATGGGCTCCATGAAGAAAGGGGAAGATTCTGAAGAGGTGGAGATCGATTTGGGGGACTCCAGTGACCCTGAAGAATTTGAAACTGAGGAGGAACCGCACATGCTGTGGAAAGCCCAGGCTTCTGTGGAAGAAGAGGAAAACATTCACACGTCCACACTGGTGGAAATCAGTGATACCAAACCTCTGATTACTGCCAGAGACCCCCGAGGTATAAACGACTGCCTCAAGGTACAGCGCTCTTATGCAACAGCTCAAATACACCATGCATTTATTTTGCATTAAGTTATGAACAAACACATGTTCATTCTTGACTGATTGCACCACAGTGGATATAATTCATCAACCCCCTCCAGGAAATATTATGCATTGATGGCATTGTCTCCAGGTGACGTTTGAGGATGTGATAGCTGAGCCGGTGTCAGTCCGCAGTGGAGACAGAGTGTGGATCTGGAGCCATGCCTTGTTCGAGGTGTGCAAGGTCTGGATTTACAGGATAGTTTCAGTCCTTTTGGCCATTCCCATGTCAGTTCTGTCTGGACTGCTGTTCGCCATCCTCAACTGCTTCCACGTTTGGTAGGTTCAAATAAACAATACTCTAACAGTGTGATTACAAAGAAAACTGCTCGTTCTTTAGTTTAACTATTAAATTAAAGTAGCAACCAAGCAAAACTGAATATGAGTGACCCAAACAATTGTTCACGAGGTAAATCCTTTTGTGCTCAGAAACAAGTTTGCACCAGTTGACTGGATGGATCGTAATACGAGTAAAAATAAATACAAACACTGAAGAAAATAATTAGTGTCTCCAAAACTTGGATGAAAGGTACTGCCATCATTAATAAACCAAATAAAATAACTGATTTGGGGTTGTTATTCAAGTATTAATATTTTTTCTAAGTCCATCTGTTCTGATCTGAACTGATTTCTCATTACAAGTCAGTCAAGTCAAGTCCAGACCAATGAGTCAGCATTTAAAGAGTCGGTCTCCATTTGTTCCCAACATTTTAAAACCCTGTTTATTGAATTTTAAACATATTCAGTCAACAAAAAGAAAAAAAACAACAACAACAAACAACAGTCACTCCACTCTAGCACCTGTCCTTAACAAACAAGTAGAAGAGGAAAAAAAACAACAAACAAAACAAGTGATATAAGAAACAAAACAATATATAAATACACAAACACCACATTACTTTAATTGATCTATAAGTAACAGTATTATTTGCTCAGAAGTTACGCTTTACTTTTTGATAAATGAGGTATTTTTCCTAGAAAACACTTTAATATCTGTCTCTAACAGTCAAATACTGAGAAAAAACAGCTATGTCATTACCCCCTCCCCCCCCCCCCCACACACACACGTGTTTGTATTTCTACCTTTACAGAGACTTTGCACTGACTTCCATTCATTTCTATAGCCTAACCCTGACCCTGACCCTAACCATTACCAGTACATACTTAACCCTAAACCTTACCCATCCTCTACTGTTACCATAGTCCTAAATCGAATCCCTAACCCACCAGTGACACTTGAACCTTATGGGGACCAGGCTTTGGTCCCCAAAAAGAGCAGCTGGTCCTGGGCCTCACAAAGTAAAATAAACAAGCACACGTGTATGTGTTTGTATTTGTTACCTTGTAAGGTCCATTGTTCTAAAACATACTGCACTGTAAGGACCAAGTGCTACTTATGGGGTCCAAAGCCCAGACTTCATAAGAAGAAGAGCATTTTTAACTGATTGTCTATTGTTGTGTGTATCTCATCTGTGTTCTATATTTAAAACATAACTTTCTTGTAAATGAGTCCTCGAGGCTCAATGTTGCAAAATTACCAAAACCGTTGTGGGATTACCTTCTTTGACTTTTGTTTTCCTCTTGCTGGATTACATCAAAATCAAGGACATTCGGAGGTGTAAGTTCATGTTGGAATTCATCCTCATGGACAGGCGATGATTTCCAAAGGGGGACTGTAGTGAACTGGGCCTCTGACATCAATTTGTCTCTGAGGACCTTCAGGGGACAGGAACTGCTATTTCATTGATTTGAATCCAGAAATATAAATTATCTCATCGAGAGACTATTTAATTGTATCCTGAATTAATTAACTGAAAGAACACTCTTCTTTTTACATTATCAGTACTATTTTAAGATATCTTGATAATCAAAAGTGCGTTTAGTTCATACCATTTCTAGATGTTGAAGCGAACCACTCATTTAAATCAACTTTGAAACAGTATTAATGATTTTTAAACCTCATTAGACTTTGATCATACAGTTAAATGTCTATTTACGAAGTAAGTGTGCATTTAGTCTTCTGTCTGAATGAGGAGTTGTGGACCTGATGTCGGTTGAAAGTCAGAGACATGTTATGAGAACGAAGTGTCTTGTTTAAAAATTCTCAGACAGTAAATAAGAACAAGCTGGCACATGCTTTGTCTCACTTCTTCATAATATTTCTCTGTCTGTACTATAACCGTTCTTAAAACATTCCTGTGCAGCATGGTGGCGCAACTGGTAGAGCTGCTGCCTCTCAGCGAGCAGGTCCTTGGTTCAAACCCTGGTCCAGGGGCCTTTCTGGGTCGAGTTTGCATGTTCTCTCCGTGCATGCATGGGTTTTCTCCGGGTGCTCCGGTTTCCTCCCACAGACCAAAAACATGCATGTTAGGCTGATTGATGACTCAAAAATTGTCCCTAGGTGTGAATGAGAAAGTGAATGGTTGTTTGTCTCGTTTGTCTCATTTGTCTCTATGTGGCCCTGTGATGGACTTGCGACCCGTCCAGGGTGTACCCCGCCCCTCGCACAGTGATTGCTGGACATGGGCACCGGCGACCCCCGTGACCCAAAATGGAATAAGCGGGTAAAGATAATGGATGGATGGAAAACATTCCTGCTGTCTCCTGACTCCTAGTGACCCTCTGACATCACTAAAACTACACCCCTGCTGGTTGTTTCAACCAATCAGGAAGTACCACGTAACAGGAAGTGGATACCCTTTAAAAGGCAACACTTCTTGGAACTATTCAGTCTTAGTCTAAGTCCTGGTCGTCTTTGCAGTCTTCCGAGGCTTTCCAGTCTTGCTGGAACTTTCAGTCGAAGATGAGACTCAGTCTGATGGCGAGTCGAACAGGAACTTTCTGTTCTTACTGAAAGTCAACTAAGTAGCGGATGGATTTGACCATGTGCCAAGAGTCTCTCCATTCCAGCATAGTCACAGCCTGCCTCCGCTGTGACTCAACCCGAGCAGTAAATGCTCAACTTCTAAGGAAGCTTATTCTGTTGAACCGAGTACTTCGTCACGACTTCTGACGACCCCAGCTACTCTGACCGGAGACGCTGAAAAGGGAGCATGCCAATGGACTTTTGTTCCGGAGTGGAGGTATCCACCATCTCAGGTAACAAGCCGTTGACGCCCTGAAGTGTACCGGAGGGCTGAGCTGGATGTCAGAGGAAGGGTGCCATTTTCTGGTTCAACACGTAACTTTCATCCATCTAAACTTCCTCCTTAAATCTATTCATCTCTTTAAACTTATCTATTCGCCAGTAAATCAAGCTAGATGCCTTCAGAGATGAATCAGTCTCAATCAGTAATGTTCTGTTGTCTTGTTTAGTAAATTGTGACAAGTTTATTAATCAGAAACAGCTCAGCAAATCAATGTGTACATGTTTTGTTGTTAAATTTTGATTCTGTTAAATAAATGACCGCATTTATTCTGATGGGTCAAAGATAAAATGGCGTCTCATGTCACTGATTAAACACTCCACTCTCATTGTTATCTTGGTCACATGGAAGAAATTTAACTCGAAAAAGAAAAGAATCAGTTGTAATTAAACAATTAATATTCTTTGTGCTTGAACTAGCTTTAAGAACAATTAATTAGTAGTGAAGTTAACCCCTATCACTACATTTACGCGCAAGGGGTATACTCTTTGATTAGAACAGCACATAACAAGCTGTAATCCTTTCTCGTGGTATCTGGTTGACGCTCTATAAAGGAAAACACCGTCCTGGCTGAAGTGAGACTGATCAAACCTATTTTATCCTCAACTGTAGCGTTGGGATAGCTTCGTAATTGGAAGTCAAGGTCTTGCAGATAGGCCTTAGTGTCAGTCGAACCCAACGGCCCTGGCTCGAAGCGTTGGAAATATTTCACTATTTTTTGCAATACCGCTAATGAGAGCAGAGGCTGAGGGTTTGGTGGAGGCGGAACAAAATAATCACTTGGAGGTGGTTCAACTGAATCACGTGGAGGTGGCATAAGGAGATTATGTGTAGGAGGTACAGCAAAATCCTTCTGAGGTGGTGATGGTTGACCTGGACTGTGACCCAGTTTGTCTTTGAGTTCTAGACATCCTTTCCCCTCGTCAGAGATTTTATCTGTGGCTGCGGCAAGTTTTGCCTCACAGGCTGTTAACCGTTCACGTGATGTATGACACTCACTTTGTAAACGCACGCCTTGTTAGACTAATGCCAGTTTTTCCAATATGCATTCGTCACGAGATTTTGATGTTAGCTGCAACTGTTGGTGCAGAGCATCATAGTCTGAACACAGTGCTTGGTACTTCGACCCTCCTTCACGCAGCTTTTTCTCATACGAGTCTGCTTGTAACAACAGCTGAGCTTGTGAGAGCTCTTTTTCACGTTTCAATTCATTCTCCCAGGTCTCTTTCACCAATTGAAACTGTGCTTTGAGTTGTAGACACTCATCAAATGTTGCTGCGCGATCCTCTGTCTCGCGCATCAACTTTATTTCAAGGGATTCTGTCCTGTTGGCCTCAAGGTATAATTCAGCTTTTAGCAAGAGTGATATTTTAGCTAGCTGTTCGTAGCCTGACTTCTTTATGGCTGCAGAAGTGACACTGCCTGCCACTTCCTTCAGCTCGTCCAATAACTCTGTTGAGTTCATGCTGTCCACCTGGTCACCATATGGAGGTAAGGAATCTGTGAGCAGCCCCAAAGCTGTCTCAAGCCAGTCCTTCTTAACACCACAAGGAGCAGGAGCATTAGCATGTTCAGCTTTTGTTGAATCTGCCATAGTCGTATTTACTGTTCAGCAAAACCTATCTGGTTAAACCGTCGCAATCTTAGAGTTTTTCAACAGGTAAATGTTTGTATTTAAGCAAGCAGTGAGTTCCACACACCATTTAGCTCTGGGTTCCATCAACAGTACTGTTATAAGCCAACTTTTCAATAATTGGGCACCTGTTTTTAGGTTTGACCCCATGAATATTATAAGTAAAAGCTTCCTGTGGCAGTGTTACTTAATATGAGCTTAATTCTAACAGATACAATGAACCAGGCTATTTCAGTGTTTATTTACTCCAATGCACTTAAAATTAATAAACTTGCAATTTTCACTAAAAGTCTGACAGCAACTTTGAAGTTTTAAACGCTCTTTAAGCAGTATAATTTACCAGAATTTGCTATTTAAAACAGCAACTCATAAACCAGGCTCGATTAACATTTTTATTTACCAACATGCGTCTTTTTAGAAATAAAATGAAAACGAGTTTGCACCTCTCAGTTCTGAAAAACTATTATACTCTTTTTCAACAGCAGGTGGTGGTACAAGCTTACTTTTACTGGTAGGAGTCACTGACAACTTCCTGTGAACCGTCCTGTTGACATCCTTCGATTAGCAACGGACGAACACGGTCCAAATCAGCATTTATAGATGGATTTAAAGCTTGAACGTGGCGTTGCTTCAAAAGCACGCTCTTTAGGCATAGACTCATCAGGTTATCAGTGGATTTCAAGGCTTTATTCAGCTGTTTTAAACCACTTAAAGAAGACTCCGTTAAAAATGAGCTTCACGTGAATTTACAGACACCTGAGATGGTGGATACCTCCACTCCGGAACAGAAGTCCATTGGCACGCTCCCTTTTCAGCGTCTCCGGTCAGAGTAGCTGGGGTCGTCAGAAGTCGTGACAAAGTACTCAGTTCAACAGAATAAGCTTCCTTAGAAGTTGAGCTTTTACTGCTCGGTTTGTGCTATGCTGGAATGGAGAGACCCTTGGCACATGGTCAAATCCATCCGCTACTTAGTTGACTTTCAGTAAGAACTGAAAGTTCCTGTTCAACTCACCATCAGACCGGGTCTCATCTTCGACTGAAAGTTCCAGGAAAACTGGAAAAGACTGCGAAGACTCCAAAAGACGACAAAGACTTAGACTGAATAGTTCCAAGAAGTGTTGCCTTTTAAAGGGTATCCACTTCCTGTTACGTGGTACTTCCTGATTGGTTGAAACAACCAGCAGGGGTGTAGTTTTAGTGATGTCAGAGGGTCACTAGGAGTCATGAGACAGCAGGAATGTTTTAAGAACGGTTAGTACAGACGGATAAATTTTATAAAGAAGTGAGACAAAGCAGGTGTCAGCTAGTTCTTATTTACTGTCTGAGAGTTTTAAAAACAAGGCACTTCGTTCTCATAACTTGTCTCTGACTTTCGACCGACATCCACTACTCCTCATTCAGACAGAAGACTAAATGCACACTTACTTCGTAAATAGACATTTAACTGTATGATCAAAGTCTAATGAGGTTTAAAAATCATTAATACTGTTTCACAGTTGATTTAAATGAGTGGTTCACTTCAACATTTAGAAATGGTATGACCTAAACACACTTTCGATTATCAAGATATTGTAAAATAGTAATGATAATGTAAAAAGAAGAGTGCTCTTTCAATTGATTAATTCAGGATACAATTAAATAGTCTCTTGATGAGATAATTTGTATTTCTGGATTCAAATCAATGAAATAGCAGTTCCTGTCCCCTGAAGGTCCTCAGAGACAGATTGATGTCGGAGGCCTAGTTCACTACAAGACTAACCTGTATAAAGTTTGAATGAATGGTGGGTTAGGGTTAAGTATGTACTAGTAATGGTTAGGTTTAAGGTAAAGGTCATAGTTAGGCTATAGAAATGAATGAAAAATGAATGGAAGTCAGTGCTAAGTCCCCATAAAGATAGAAAGACAAACTTGAGTGAGCACACACATGCATGCACCCACAAATCAAAAAACATTTGGATGATTAATGCAGTTACTTGAAGAGAGAATCTAATAAGAGTTCATGACAAGTTTCATTTACAGACCTTTGGGTGTTTTATTTAATTTATTTGAGACCTCCAGAGGTGAATTTCCTGAAAAAGATGAAGTGAAAAATAAAAATGAATCTCTCGTCCACACTCACTTTACTGCAACAGTTGATCCGAATCATTACTATAAGCTTTCTGTTTCTTCTCTGTTGACGATCCAGAGAGCAGCTTTGTTTTTTAATTGAAGATTAGATTTTTTTTTTCATTTTACTGTTGCTAACAAGGATTTTTGCTTTAAGTTATAAAAAAGGAATAAACTTGTAAAAAGAAGCAACAGGCTACAGGAAAAAAAATCAAAGGAATATATATATATGTATATATACAGAAATATAAAAAATATATTTATCTTGTGCAAATATTGTGAACCCATTTATTTTAATTTTTGCGTTTCCTTTTGTGACAGGCTGGTCAGTCCTTGTATCCAGTGTGTCTTCATCGGTACTCGCTGGCTGCAGAGCGTCTGGAGCATCGTGCTGGGCGTCTTCATGACTCCTCTCCTCCTGAGTGCAGGGAAATGTTACAGAGGCTTCAGCGTGCATGTGGCCAAAGAATGACATGTTGACTCAGGAGAAGCACGTCTAAAGTGCATTTCTTCATGACGTGGACACAAACGCAGTTCTGCTCATGTGGACTGAGCAAAGCAAGGATTTGATTTTTGATTACTCATAGAATCTGGGGTTACAATACGTAACCAACATTTTATTTCCCTGCCAGGCTTTTACTTTATAGTAAATACTTATGTGAAAAATGTTTTATTTAATATTTATTTGAAGTTGGTATGGTTGCGGAACATATAAGTTGTTAGTGTCTTACCTGCAGCAGATAACAATTATAGGGCTCTTGGTTTATTTAGGATATCAGACTGAGGTGTCAAGATAAAAAATTTCCACACAGGCAACAACAGGTGAAATTTTAATAATAAAAAAATAAACATTTTCTTTCTAATTTGTTTTACATGTTTGCATCGGTCAGTTACAGAGAATGGGGTAGAATTTTGGTGAAAAAAATGCAACAGAGTAAAAACCGAATTTTTATTGAAATGTATTACAACCGTTGCTTGAACTATCTGAAGGTTTAAGGCAGGGGTGCACACACTTTTTCAGCACGTGACCTACTTTTAAAATGAACAAGTCAAAGTGATCTACCTACTATAAAAATGCAAAACATATACCGGTACTTATTTATTAACACATTCAGTGTTCTTTATTAGTACAATATATGATGATGTACTTTGCATAACTGCATGCACCTATATTGTGCAACTCTGTACATTTTTTGTCATTCCCGTACTCTGATGACTTGCACTGAATGGAATCAGCCAGGGATGCATAGTCTGGACAGTAGCTGCTGATAGCCAGACTCAAGCACACTTCCAAATGATCATCAGTCATGGCGGAACGGTATTTGGACTTAATAATCTTCATGTGGGAAAAGTTTGACTCTTGAATAAGTGGAGCTGGAAAATGCAGTCAACGAGGTAACACATTTATTCATGGTGGGGTACCTTTCCTCTGGGAGTAAATTCCAGAACTGTCCATGAACCCTGGCCTTCAGCTGAATGTCAGCTTGTAGTGTCAAACTCTCATCCTCCACTCCAGAAAAGTTTAGGTTGTTTTCACACCTGATAAGTCTGGTAGACTCAGTTCGGTTGGGGACCAATATTCATAACATTTGTTTACATTTCAGCTGGTGCAGTTTGCATTCACACTGCACTGAGTCAGTCGAACCAACCTGTTCCCTCACTCGCCTGTGGTGGCGCTGCACCAAGAACTACTGAAGGGAACGACACAAAAACCTCTGAAGAAGACACTTCTTCTTCTTCTTCTGGAAATAAAAACAAAAATGGAGTGGCATCAAATTTGAGCAGTTTTAGGATTTCTGTTCTGTTATTTTTCAACAATGGACTCAGCATGAGCGGAAGATGAGGCAGAAGACCAATGTTGTTTTTCACACAAGACAGCTGACGGCTCTGTATGAGGTAGAAATGCACGTTTGTTTGCCCTGCGCTGTAGTCCACTTCCTGCTTTTGGAGCGGTCTCCAGCCCGCTTGCATTCACACTGCATTCGAACCACACCAGAGTTCACTTCAACCGAACCAAGACCTAGGTTTTTAGGCGGACCAGAGTTTGCTTTTTTGGTCCATATCAGAGTTCGATTGCGCATTCACACCTCCCCAAATGTACTGGACTTTCTAGGCAAATGGACTAGAATTTGATTAAAGTGAACTAAACAAGGCTGGTGTGAATGCACCCATGAATGAAGATGAAGCAGTGTTTCAATCTTTGATGCAATTGAAGCAACCTCAGCATCTTCCTGAAAAGGGTAGCACATGAATGTAGCAACTGGCTCCAGTAAAACAAGACTTGAAAGCGTTTGTCAAACTCTGACAGACAGTTCTCATTCTGCTCTGTGTAGCGTGCACCATCATGGCGCTGCAACTTTGAGGAGAAATTATGTATGTTTCGTTTGAAAGAATTAACCGAGCTGATCATATCGATCAGTTTTGTCTTTTCCTTGCAGTTGTATGTTAGGGTCATTCAAAATGTTGGTCAGATCGGTTAAAAATGCTAAGTGTAGCAGCCACTCATTGTTTTTAGAGTCTTGGAACAACGAGTTAGCTGCTCTTTAACCATCTCTCTGACTTAGAATGACTTCTTGTGCTTAATTAAGTGTCTCACCCAGAATGATGCTTCAGTAGCTGCCTTCACTTGTGTGGTCAGTTGTAAAAAAAAAAAAAGACCGCTGTCCAGATAAGTGGGATTTTAGTCCCTTCAACTTATTTTTTTCTCATTTCGCTTTTTGGAAGGAAGTCAGTCGTAACTTTTGTGAATAGTCTAAAAAAATGCCCCTCCACATTTCCCTTCTTTGGAATAGCAATGGTAGACTGGCAGATGAGGTAAACACACTTTGAATATGACGGTGTGAAAAAAAGTCCTCCTCTCATTCTATATGGAAATGATAGGTTTTCTGCTTCTTATTTAATCCAGCTCCCCAACTCATTTTATACCCGTTCTTGAGTTTAGAAGAAATAAATTGGAGATTAAATAGGCAACTCAGTAGCTTGGTAGTTTTTTTGGTTATGTCGGCATGCATGGTGACCCATGTGTCAGAAAAGATCAGGTCTGTGATTTGCTGCCCTGTATGTCAAGTGACAAATTTCATAGTGAGGATGGATGATAGGCTGACGTCTATTATTTTTTAATGCCATGGCTTCTACCCATACTACTTTTGAAATCGACCAGTAGATTGTGATCAACATATTGGGCATCCAGTTTAGGTTTACTTTATTATGAACGTTTTACTCTTTTATTGGCATCATTTAGTTTAGTCTGGCAGAAATCCATTTGGTTCTTCAAAATGAATGTGAGCTGCATACACTATCATGTGCAGGTAAGATACTGACCGCTCAAAGGATTCAAATAACCAAAAATACAAATATAATCGTAAATTTGGTATTTTTATTGTCCACTTTCATCAAATTATTTTCATTATTAGATTAACAATATTAAGCATGGTACAGTGCCCCGAGATGACTTCTGTTCTGACTTGGCACTATATTAATAAACCTAATTGAATTGAAAAAATATATTATTATAGTGGCATAAAGTTTACATTCTTTTAGAATGTATGGTTAAAATAAGTTTGGAACTCTTTCCATCCATCCATCCATCCATTTTCTTTACCCGCTTATTCCATTTTGGGTCACGGGGGTCGCTGGTGCCCATGTCCAGCAAACACTGTGCGAGGGGCGGGGTACACCCTGGACGGGTCGCAAGTCCATCACAGGGCCACATAGAGACAAACGAGACAAACAACCATTCACTCTCTCACTCACACCTAGGGACAATTTAGAGTTACCAATCAGCCTAACATGCATGTTTTTGGACTGTGGGAGGAAACCGGAGTACCCGGAGAAAACCCACGCATGCACGGAGAGAACATGCAAACTCCACCCAGAAAGGACCCTGGACCGGGGTTTGAACCAGGGACCTGCTCGCTGAGAGGCAGCAGCTCTACCAGTTGCGCCACCGTGCTGCCTGGAACTCTTTCCATCATTTTTTATTTAAAACTTTATTTTACCAGGAAAGAAATCCATTGCGATTATTAATCACTTTTATAAGGATGTCCTGGGCAAGGCATTTCCTGCACATGTATTAATAGACTTGTAGGGTTTGAATAATGACCTGTAACTGTGGTGGTATGTTGTTTCATTACTGCCCTGATGTTGAGCAGAAGAAAAAGCTCAACATCAGGAAGAATCCTCGTCAAAATGAGTGACTGAACTCATTGAAACAGGATTTTTTTTGTTATATCATGAGAAACAATAAGCTTGTACTGCATATCACATTTATTTAATATCAATAAATGTTTTTAGTTGGTTTTCAACACACTTGGTAAAGACAAAAAACTGTTTAAATGTTGGTCAAATTTAATAATTTTTGAAAAGACATCACATAAAATATATTTATATTTTCACACAAATCCTACCAGTGCATAAAGACAACACAACTGAACAAACAGAATAAAAAAAAACATATGTCTTTTGTGTTTTTATGTTTGTTTTTTTTTTAATATTTTTTATTTGTTAGTGTATTACATATCTGTGAGTTGCAAAAGTTTGAGAAAACCTGTCAGTGCAGAGCGACCCACCAGAAGCACAAATGTGCATGTGATGTGTAAAAATGTGCATAAAATGGGTTCCAGTTCATCTGGTAACTCATGCACGGTGAAACTGAGAAGTCAACATTCAAGGAAGGAAAAAACAGAGTTGATAAAATAATAGCAGTGATGGTCTAACATGTGAAGGCAAGGAGGTGGGAACTAGAGGTGCTAACGGTGCTACAGCACCCTCTTGTGGGTGACAAGATATAAGCTACATACAAATATAAAGTAAAAAAAAAAGAACAAAAAAAATATATATTTTAAATTTTGTGTCGTGTAAGTTTACATCTTAAATATATTTATATGAGAACTCCTTATTAAAGGGGCAAAATTAGGATTCTGTTTAGTCACATCCTTGTTTTGTCGTACAGCTTTTTTTCACATTCTCATAGCACCCTCTATGTAAGATACGTTCCCACGGCTGTGCTTGAGGCAAAAAAAAAAAAAGGTAAATTAAACATGACAGAAAAACAATATTTAATGTTTCACAAAATAAAACCCAAGGAAAAGAAAAATGCACTTATGAATAAAAAATGTTATGCACTTTCTCTTCAAAATCTGACACAAATTTCTGAAGTATTCTTAATAAACTATCTGTCTTGATTTCATCTAAACGACACATAAATAGAGTACCATCACTTGTTTTAGAGGTTTTAGGGCGCAGGTTAACCATCTCACCTCCACTCATCTCACTTCCTCATGTGTGAGATCTGACAGAATAAAGATGCAACTTTTAAGCAGTTTACTCACAATCCTCAAGGCTCACCAGTCCCATGTGGGAGCTCACACAGTACCAAGCATGAGAACTCACAGTAGCACAAAACAAACAGGAAGTTTTCTTCTAAAATGGTTTAATTTCTGTTTTCTGCAGTTTGCCGGCAAACAGAACCTCTTCAGGACATGATCTTGTTAATGTGTGGGAAACTGAAACTGCTTGAAATGATGTAACAGTCAGCAGTGAGGGGACACAATCAAAGTTGCATTTGATTTAAAAAAATTATTTATCTATTTATTTATTCTATCACATAAAGTGCAGCACAAGTTAAAACCACTGAAAAAAATAACCCAAGGAAAACTTTCAAAAAGCACGAAGAACTATTGATCAAACAGAAAAGGCAGGCTCGATAGAAAGAAAGGTTATATTATATTTATATTTATATTTTAGTTTTTACAACAACAAAAAAATTAAAAGTGTGAGGGTGGGGTTTGTTCTTTGTTTATGTGATGTGCAACTA